ATAAGTAAATTTACATAAATTTATTATTTAAATATTTTTTTTATGTGGTTAATTTTTTTTTCTGCTCTAAGTTTTCCGTCTTTATACGTTTGATATAGCGAAGCTTTTGACAGAGTAATTTAACTATTCAACCAGAAATCTTTACAAAACGAATAAAGTACTGGCAAGGCGAAGATGAAGATGAAGGTGAGGTGAAAATAAATAAGAAATAAGTAAGCTTAAGCGAATGTCGCCGTTCAACGTTGACTTCACTTGGCATGTGATGAAGTGCAACTGCAAATTACGCCAAATGTTTCGCGCTCTCACAGTTTATGTATGTGTGTGTGTAGGTGTGTAGGTGTGAGGGAGTGTAGAGGAGTGGGAGTGGATGCCAGGAACTACTACAGACCGACCGACCGACCGACTGATAGGGCATTAAAATTACCCTCACTCAGCGGATGTGGCTGTGGCTCTGACTGTGGCTGTGGCTGTGGCTGTTGCTGCACCCGCCACTGACACTGACTGCAAATCGTTGCCAGACACCTCTTCTAACCGGATTTATTGTAATGAAGCGTGCGCAAAACAGAAACGACGCTTGCTCAGCGCTCAGACAGAGCGATAAAAGATGCACTGCCAAATAAAAATCCGGACAAAAACAACAACAACAACAACAACAAGCGAAACTGACGTGTTGACAGCAACATATTTGTGCTGTAAACGGCAGAAGGGAGTGGGGCAGAGGCAATGCCAGCAGGAAATACAAAAAATGGGACTAAGGTGACAATGAATGGGCGAATTTGAGTGAGACTAGACGTGCGTATGCTCTATAAAAAGAACTTATAGAAAATATATGGCAGTGCTCCTTCATCTTAAAACAGAACAGAGTTTGGTAGAATCTATAAGAGAATCCAAAGTTTTCAGAAAGTCCGACTTCCCTTATGCTGTGTGTCCGTCTCTCTCTCTCTCTCCCTCTCTCTCTCTCTCACATATTTTTTTCTTTCTGTTTCTTTTGCTCTCTTTCTCTTCTATATACGTCTCTCTCTTTTGATCACTATCGCCCCTTCTAGTTACTCTCTTTCGCCATCTATCTCTTAGTCTCTTCATTTCTCTCCTTGTATCTCTCTCTCTGTCTTTCCTTTTCTTCTTCTTGTTTTCTTCTTTGTTTTTCTCTTTCCTCTCTCACACAGACTTTCTCTCTCTCTTTTTTGCCTTTATTTTTTGTGTCTCTCGGTCTGTCTCTTTGTCTCACTTTGCCTTTCTCTCTATCTCTCAAATTTCTCCTCTCTCTACTTTTGTCTTTTTCTCTCTCTCTCTCCCTTCCGTCGCCCTTTTTGACTTATATTGCCCTATATTTAAACTATTTCTATTAGCTCTAAATCTGTCTTGCCGTAGTCTATCTAACGAAACTGTTTCCATTTGATGCTTTAAGCCAACGTCACCTTGAATCTAATTTACCATCTCGGCTCACCTTCAATATTAGTGAGTGTATAGAAAAAAGCGAAAATAATTTCGTGAAAGCGTCGCCAACATTAACAAATACAATAAATAAGTTGGCGCAATGCTTTTGCTTCCAGTTCAGTGTGAGCTGGAGAAGATGTGGAAGTCGAATGCAGAAGTCAGCATAACGCCGCAGCTGGAGCTGATAAGACGCGCTGACAGGATGTGGCCGGGCAGCATAAACTCCAGGAGCTCCTGCTCCTGCCGCAGCTACAGCGCCTGCTCCTGCTCCTGCTCCTGCTCAAGCTGCTTCCGTTAACAACTATTGAGTGCGGTCTGTCAAGCTCGTCAAGCGACAAATTCGGTTGCCCGGGCAGCGTCGCGACGCTCGCGGATAACTGCACAGATAATGGGCAGCGGAACAAGAAGCGCGAGAGAGTGAGAGAGAGAGAGAGAGAGATTGATAGAGAGTGGGAGATAGAGCCATGTCTTTGCCGTTTTAATGAAGCTCAGTTTCCGTGTGGGTTTCGGCGTGGCCCTAGCTTGTCGCTAGGATAATTAGCGGCTCGGGCCATGCAAAGCCGCCGTTGTCCTTGGCCAGAACGTTGGGAATTCTCACAGTTGGAATCACAAGTTAATGCCGCGCGCCAGTCGCCACTTGGTCCTTTTGTTAATGGATTGATTTTCAAATTTCTTCACTCATCTAATCTGGTTGACTCTGCACCCAGCGCGCTTCAGCTTCATCGCTTCACTCTGCGCACTTTTATGGGCAATTTCTAGCTGCTTTTTAATAAGAAAAGAAGTGCTTTTTATTTATTTTTCGGTTTTTTTTTTTTAGCACTGATTTTTTTTTCCTTTTTTTGTAATTTTATTGTGTCACTTACTTAGCGAAAGTCCTTGTGGGCGCTGCTCGGAAAACTCTGTCCCTGCAGCGAGTCCGAGTGCAGTCGGGAAAAAAGTTTTGCCTGAATGACAGCTGCGTTGGTCAGAGATAAGCGCACGCCACAACCCCGCACCGCACCGCCCCGCAGCAGCTCTGACAGCCGTTGTGATAAAGCAAAAATTGTCAAGTGCCGCCCCCAGCCGCCCTCCTGACTCCTGTCCAGGTGTGACTCGAGCTCGAACGGAAGTTTACCGCGGCAATGCCTGCGCGGGCTGTCCTGTCTGTCCTGGCTGTCTGCCTGTCCAGAGCAGCTCTCGATAGCTTAGCGCTGTACAAAAGTTGTTAAGCATTTCACACACACTAACACAGAGAGAGTGAGTGTGTGCCTCCTTCCGTCTCCTGCCGATGCCATAAAGATAAGTTGTGCGCCCACATTATGTGGCCTCTAATCGCTGCGCCATGCCAATCGTCATCAGAATTCTGGAATTTTGAATGCTCTAGATTCGTTTTTTATGCGTTGCCCCCGCACAAATTATGTTTTTTATTGTTATACGCTCACTGTGTGTATGGGCGTGGCATAAAAAAGAAGAACAAGAAAACAATTTACTTCTATCTGCGCGACGATACGTCACAAAGGCGATAAACATGGCTGTGGTCCACATTCCTTTGCCATTTGCATATCCTGTTTGGCTTGTCCTTAAAGCCACTGCCCCGAACTTTAATTAGAGAAGCCAACGAGCGGGGGCCGTGGGGTATGGGCTGGGGCATTTAGATTTGTTGCAGGCATGCTTGCTGCTAACGAAAG